TGCAGCTGCTAATACAGTAGCAGGTGTAGCTGCTAATACAGTAGCAGGTGTAGCTGCTAATACAGTAGCGGTTGCAGCTGCTAATACAGTAGCAGGTGTAGCAGCTAATACAGTAGCGGGTGCAGTTGCTAATACAGTAGCGGGTGTAGCAGCTGCTAATACAGTAGCGGGTGTAGCAGCTGGTAATACAGTAGCAGGTGCAGCTGCTAATACAGTAGCGGGTGCAGCTGCTAATACAGTAGCAGGTGCAGCTGCTAATAAAGTAGCGGGTGCAGCTGCTAATACAGTAGCAGGTGCAGCTGCGAATACAGTAGCGGGTGCAGCTGCTAATACAGTAGCGGGTGCAGCTGCTAATACAGTAGCAGGTGCAGCTGCTAATAAAGTAGCGGGTGCAGCTGCTAATAAAGTAGCGGGTGCAGCTGCTAATAAAGTAGCGGGTGCAGCTGCTAATAAAGTAGCGGGTGCAGCTGCTAATACAGTAGCAGGTGCAGCTGCTAATACAGTAGCAGGTGCAGCTGCTAATACAGTAGCGGGTGTAGCAGCTGCTAATACAGTAGCAGGTGCAGCTGCTAATACAGTAGCGGGTGTAGCAGCTGCTAATACAGTAGCAGGTGCAGCTGCTAATACAGTAGCAGGTGTAGCTGCTAATACAGTAGCAGGTGTAGCTGCTAATACAGTAGCGGTTGCAGCTGCTAATACAGTAGCAGGTGTAGCAGCTAATACAGTAGCGGGTGCAGTTGCTAATACAGTAGCGGGTGTAGCAGCTGCTAATACAGTAGCGGGTGTAGCAGCTGGTAATACAGTAGCAGGTGCAGCTGCTAATACAGTAGCGGGTGCAGCTGCTAATACAGTAGCAGGTGCAGCTGCTAATAAAGTAGCGGGTGCAGCTGCTAATACAGTAGCGGGTGTAGCAGCTGCTAATACAGTAGCAGGTGCAGCTGCTAATACAGTAGCAGGTGCAGCTGCTAATACAGTAGCAGGTGTAGCTGCTAATACAGTAGCAGGTGCAGCTGCTAATAAAGTAGCGGGTGCAGCTGCTAATAAAGTAGCGGGTGCAGCTGCTAATAAAGTAGCGGGTGCAGCTGCTAATACAGTAGCAGGTGCAGCTGCTAATACAGTAGCAGGTGCAGCTGCTAATACAGTAGCAGGTGCACCTGCTACTGTATTAGCAGCTGCTAATACAGTAGCAGGTGCAGCTGCTAATACAGTAGCAGGTGTAGCAGCTAATACAGTAGCGGGTGCAGGTGCTAATACAGTAGCAGGTGCAGCTGCTAATACAGTAGCAGGTGCAGCTGCTAATACAGTAGCAGGTGTAGCTGCTAATACAGTAGCAGGTGTAGCAGCTAATACAGTAGCGGGTGCAGTTGCTAATACAGTAGCGGGTGTAGCAGCTGCTAATACAGTAGCGGGTGTAGCAGCTGGTAATACAGTAGCAGGTGCAGCTGCTAATACAGTAGCGGGTGCAGCTGGTAATACAGTAGCAAGTGCAGCTGCTAATGCAGTAGCAGGTGCAGGTGCTAATACAGTAGCAGGTGCAGCTGCTAATACAGTAGCAGGTGCAGGTGCTAATACAGTAGCAGGTGCAGCTGCTAATACAGTAGCGGGTGCAGCTGCTAATACAGTAGCAGGTGCAGCTGCTAATACAGTAGCGGGTGCAGCTGCTAATACAGTAGCGGGTGCAGGTGCTAATACAGTAGCGGGTGCAGCTGCTAATACAGTAGCGGGTGCAGCTGCTAATACAGTAGCAGGTGCAGCTGCTAATACAGTAGCGGGTGCAGCTGCTAATACAGTAGCAGGTGCAGCTGCTAATACAGTAGCGGGTGCAGCTGGTAATACAGTAGCAGGTGCGGCTGCTAATACAGTAGCAGGTGCAGCTGCTAATACAGTAGCAGGTGCAGCTGCTAATACAGTAGCAGGTGCAGCTGCTAATACAGTAGCGGGTGCAGCTGGTAATACAGTAGCAGGTGCAGCTGCTAATACAGTAGCAGGTGCGGCTGCTAATACAGTAGCAGGTGCAGCTGCTAATACAGTAGCAGGTGCGGCTGCTAATACAGTAGCAGGTGCAGCTGCTAATACAGTAGCAGGTGCAGCTGCTAATACAGTAGCGGGTGCTGCTGGTAATACAGTAGCAGGTGCAGCTGCTAATACAGTAGCAGGTGCAGCTGCTAATACAGTAGCGGGTGCAGCTGCTAATACAGCAGCAGGTGCAGCTGGTAATACAGTAGCGGGTGCAGCTGCTGATACAGTAGCAGGTGCAGCTGCTAATACAGTAGCGGGTGCAGCTGCTAATACAGTAGCGGGTGCAGCTGCTGATACAGTAGCAGGTGCACCTGCTAATACAGTAGCAGGTGCAGGTGCTAATACAGTAGCAGGTGCAGCTGCTAATGCAGTAGCGGGTGCAGCTGCTAATACAGTAGCGGGTGCAGCTGCTAATACAGTAGCAGGTGCAGCTGCTAATACAGTAGCGGGTGCAGCTGCTAATACAGTAGCAGGTGCAGCTGCTAATACAGTAGCAGGTGCAGCTGCTAATACAGTAGCAGGTGCAGCTGGTAATACAGTAGCAGGTGCAGCTGCTAATACAGTAGCGGGTGCACCTGCTAATACAGCAGCAGGTGCAGCTGCTAATACAGTAGCGGGTGCAGCTGCTAATACAGTAGCAGATGCAGGTGCTAATACAGTAGCAGATGCAGCTGCTAATACAGTAGCAGGTGCAGCTGGTAATACAGTAGCAGGTGCAGCTGCATATTTTTGCAATAAAAAAGTTATGTTGTAATGGAATTCATGCATTAGTTTTTGTTTGCTTTGAACCCAGAGCAGACGTCACACGCCAGACGACATCAACACTGCATACTTTAGTATTTGTTCATTCATCGTGAGTAATATCGATATCGCAATATTAAGCACTGTTATCGAATATCGCAGGTTTTCCTAATATCGTGCAGCCCTAGCCCAAAATGATGTTCTCACTTTGATGAACGCAGTAGCGGGTGCAGCTGCTAATACAGTAGCGGGTGCAGCTGCTGATACAGTAGCAGGTTCACCTGCTAATACAGTAGCAGGTGCAGCTGCTAATACAGTAGCGGGTGCAGCTGCTAATACAGGTGCAGGTGCTAATACAGTAGCAGGTGCAGCTGCTAATACAGTAGCGGGTGCAGGTGCTAATACAGTAGCAGGTGTAGCAGCTAATACAGTAGCAGGTGCAGCTGCTAATACAGTAGCAGGTGCAGCTGCTAATGCAGTAGCGGGTGCAGCTGCTGATACAGTAGCAGGTGTAGCAGCTAATACAGTAGCGGGTGCAGCTGCTAATACAGTAGCGGGTGCAGCTGCTAATACAGTAGCGGGTGCAGCTGCTAATACAGTAGCAGGTGCAGGTGCTAATACAGTAGCAGGTGTAGCAGCTAATGCAGTAGCGGGTGCAGCTGCTAATACAGTAGCGGGTGAAGCTGCTAATACAGTAGCAGGTGTAGCAGCTAATGCAGTAGCAGGTGCAGCTGCTAATACAGTAGCAGGTGCAGCTGCTAATACAGTAGCAGGTGCAGGTGCTAATACAGTAGCAGGTGTAGCAGCTAATGCAGTAGCAGGTGCAGCTGCTAATACAGTAGCGGGTGCAGCTGCTAATGCAGTAGCGGGTGCAGCTGCTAATACAGTAGCGGGTGCAGCTGCTAATACAGTAGCGGGTGCAGCTGCTGATACAGTAGCAGGTGCACCTGCTAATACAGTAGCAGGTGCAGGTGCTAATACAGTAGCAGGTGCAGGTGCTAATACAGTAGCACTTGCAGCTGCTAATACAGTAGCGGGTGCAGCTGCTAATGCAGTAGCGGGTGCAGCTGCTAATACAGTAGCGGGTGCAGCTGCTAATACAGTAGCGGGTGCAGCTGCTGATACAGTAGCAGGTGCACCTGCTAATACAGTAGCAGGTGCAGGTGCTAATACAGTAGCAGGTGCAGCTGCTAATGCAGTAGCGGGTGCAGCTGCTAATACAGTAGCGGGTGCAGCTGCTAATACAGTAGCGGGTGCAGCTGCTAATACAGTAGCGGGTGCAGCTGCTAATGCAGCAGCAGGTGCAGCTGGTAATACAGTAGCGGGTGCAGCTGCTAATACAGCAGCAGGTGCAGCTGGTAATACAGTAGCGGGTGCAGCTGCTGATACAGTAGCAGGTCCAGCTGCTAATACAGTAGCGGGTGCACCTGCTAATACAGTAGCAGGTGCAGGTGCTAATACAGTAGCAGGTGTAGCAGCTAATGCAGTAGCAGGTGCAGCTGCTAATGCAGTAGCGGGTGCAGCTGCTAATACAGTAGCGGGTGCAGCTGCTAATACAGTAGCGGGTGCAGCTGCTGATACAGTAGCAGGTGCACCTGCTAATACAGTAGCAGGTGCAGGTGCTAATACAGTAGCAGGTGCAGCTGCTAATGCAGTAGCGGGTGCAGCTGCTAATACAGTAGCGGGTGCAGCTGCTAATACAGTAGCAGGTGCAGCTGCTAATACAGTAGCGGGTGCAGCTGCTAATACAGTAGCGGGTGCAGCTGCTAATACAGTAGCAGGTGTAGCAGCTAATACAGTAGCAAGTGCAGCTGTTAATACAGCAGCAGGTGCAGCTGCATATTTTTGCAATAAAAATGTTATGTTGTAATGGAATTCATGCATTAGTTTTTGTTTGCTTTGAACCCAGCGCAGACGTCACACGCCAGACGACATCAACACTGCATACTTTAGTATTTGTTCATTCATCGTGAGTAATATCGATATCGCAATATTAAGCACTGTTATCGAATATCGCAGGTTTTCCTAATATCGTGCAGCCCTAGCCCAAAATGATGTTCTCACTTTGATGAACGCTGTCCAAAAATAGTGATGTCTATTTGAAATGTTTTGACTAGACCTGTAACATTAAATGAACTGTCCTGTCTTATTGAACTCTGATGATTGTTTTGAAACGGCAACAAACATGGTGGTATTAGTTTCTTATTTTTATTTCATTAATTTATTTTATTGTCTTCCAGTGAAGAAGAGGAACCCTGGGCCAAAGCTGCCCAGAGATGCGTTTATACCTCCAGAGGCAGTTCCAGCGTAAGGATTGTTGCTCTTCCGGGGAGGGGGGTTCATACGCTTGCACCACCCACCTATTTATATACATCACTTTATATTGCTGATGCATATAGTGCTCAGCAACGAGTACACACCCCTTTAAGAAGTATGAATTTAATCAGTAGCTCAATGAAAAAAGAACAATTTGCAGAAATTTTCAAGGCTGGGTTTTATTGAACACTTGTTTAACTCCATTACATGAAATTAAGGTTAATAATATACTTGGGTCACAAAATCTTCAGTTTTACTACAGTTGTTTGAAGCAAAAATGAATACACCCCACAACTAAAACTACTATATTTAGTATATTGTATGATACTGGGATTTTTAAGGACAGCACCAAGTCTTCTAGGGATGGAATGAACAAGTTGGCGACATAGTGCAACATCTCTTTTTCCATTATTCAAGATTAACCTCTTTTCGAGCCTTGATGCTGGATGGAGCATCTTCTCTTTCAGTAAAGAGCAGGACATTGTTGAGTTCAATGAAATGCAGCTCCCCAAAACCAGCAGCAATCATGCAGCCCCAGAAAAGGACACCACCATGTTTCACTGTAGGTGTAGCCAACCCCTCCCTTGTCGCGTTGTATTCTGCGTTGTGTGTCGTGGACCAAGAGACCGGCAGACAAGAACCACCACAGGGTTGCAGCTAGTCAGGCAAGTTTATTCTGTTTAAAACAAGATTACTTTCAGCACAGCACTTTGGTGACACAGGTCTCCTCACAAACACCTCTCCCAAGCACAGCTAAGTGCAAACTGTTTTCAATTCTCAATAAAATCAAATCACTATTTTACTGAAAACCTTAAAATGAAATACAGCACTTAAACAAAAAGTCTGCCTGATAACTTATTTTTGTACATAATTTATGGAACAAACTACCATCTAAACTTTGCCATTAAAACACATTCATATGTGACACAGCTCATCTCACTCACAACAGCGCCAATACGGAAATGACATACAGTAGGGTAAGAAAATAAAAGCTTCCCCACTAAAATAAAATACAATCTGTATGTCAAGAAAATAAATGCACACAGAAAGGAACAACAGATTTTGGATGGAATATAAAATTGCTTCTCTTGTTTTACACACCTGTTACATTCACCCCTCCTCAATTCCACCAAAATCCAAGCCAACCCCACAAATTGTACAACTCAAGTACTGGGGAAATGGAAAAATTACCGAAAGACAGGAACAACACTGCTATAACCAAGAACAACCTTTAGCTAGAAAGCCACCCGCAAAGCAGGTTCAGAAATGACAAGAAGTTGATCAGACCTCTGCCCTTCTCAGAAAAATATGTTGCCATTTACACCATACATGTCTGTGCCACTTTTAAACCTATGGATCAAATACAGGATCCATGCAGCACATACCAATTACTCAGGTGACGCTGCCATGTGTCCAGCTGTAAGCAACAAAAAAACTTAAAACCAAGTAAGAGATGACTGAGATTTATTTATTTATTTATTTTTACTCACAAAGTGTGCTGAGATTATGAAATCACAAGGACTTTGGGCCATGGATTCAATGAGTCTGTTCACTCTTTTACTGACCCTGCCCACCCGAGTCCTTACAACCTGTTCAGTGTCCCCTTCAGGATGGCAATGTGCGTCCATGCCAGCATTTGAATCCACAGGAAGAGTTTCTGTGTCTACACAATGGACTTGATCCACTGCAGATGGATTTCCGTGATGTCCAGCTATATCGTGAATGCCATTTAAAGCCCTTTCCTTGAGGTTATCAGGAAGAACAAATTGGTGTCTCCTCTATTTACTAAGGGGATCCCGGGTGACCCTGAAAAGGGTCCCGTTCTGGATCTTGAGCTTATCCCACTGCTTGATGATCACCATAGCCCCAAAGTCAAGTCCTACTCTTTCATGCCTGGACGGGCACCTCCCTTGAATGATTGACGGCAAGATCTTAAAATATTGGTATCGAGCATTTGCGCTTGCTGTAGTTCATCCAAAGTAAACACTGGGAGTGAGTCCTGTCCCGGCATAACCAAATCTTGGGCAGCCTGGATTAGCTCTACTGCCCATGGCTCAGTGACCAGATCCCCTTGGTCGTACATCTCCAAAAGAGCCTTGACTGCCACTGCATCACACTGGTAAGATGAAAAGCTACTGGTAATATCTGAACCATCACAAACCGACTTCCTCACTCCTCGACTCAAAGTGTCTCTGACTCCATCTTGGCTAACATCATCAGCTTCAATGAGGAGGCGAGTGTATCCCTCATGAATGTTTCTGTGACTAACAGTAGTTGCAAATGGATTTCTGCTGAGGGCATTGGCCACAGTGTTCTTGGAGTTAGGGATGTGTTTCAAGTCAAATGTGTAGGGTGCTAGCTTGACCACCCAACGCTGCTCACATGCGTCAAGCTTAGGTTTAGTCAGGATGTACATAAGTGGATTGTTATCAGTAAAACGGAAAAAGTCTGACCTCTCAACCAATGACTGAACTTCTCACATACACTCCACTTCAAAGCCAGAAATTCAAGCCTGTGGGCCGGGTACTTCTTTTGTGAGCTGCTCAGCCTCTTACTAGCAAATGTGATAGGGCGAGCCTTCTCCTGACCAGCTGGCACTTGGGTCAGCACAGCTCCCAAACCATCCAGAGAAGCATCAACAGATAAAATCAAAGGTTTTGAAAAATCCAGGTGTGCGAGGACAACACAGTTTAGCAGCTTATCCTTAAAAATCAACAAGGCTCTATCACACTCTTCAGTCCAATCAGATGGTTTCAACTTCCTGTAAGATCCAGCACTGGTTGTTGTTTTGGCTCTGCCCTTCCTCTTCTGCCCACCAGTCAGAGACAACAGTGGCTTGGCTATGGACGAACAGTTTGGAATGAAGTACTGATAGTAAAACACCATGTCGCTAAGTTGTTAGCGCCGCACGCTAACACGTCAATAGAGCAGCGTACCGACCTCTCAGGCTGCTCACACATCGATCTTAAGTTGTCGCTGTTGCGCTCACGCCGTAATACAGTATTAGATGCGGTTAAAGTCAGACACGAAAAATTAAATAAATTTTACATGAATAAGTGATGCTTAGCCTGGTGGGGGAGGGAAACCTGGCCTAATAAGCACTGGAGGAAACTCTGTCAAGATCGTCAACACTCATTTATCTTAATGCTGCTGAAACATGTAAACGTAAAAGCATTATATCCACTGCTACCTTTTAAACTCAGTAACTTATGCTGTAACTGCACCTTGCCCTGCCTGCTCCTCCTTGCTGCTGCCGGCTGTGATCACAAGCGACAACATAGTAGTTCCCTCTGCTTCTTCGGAAACAGCGCAAAAAATAAAATAAAATAAAAACTTGGGATCTTGTAGGCGTGGCGGTGGGATTTCAGCCGTGGCGGGCCGCCACGGCTACGCCTATGTAAAGAAAACCCTGGGGGTCACACCATTAGGACAGTGGGAGGATTAAACATACAAAGGGAAGGTGCCTGATGCACATAGAGGGGCAGAGAGTTCCAGAGTTTGGGGGCAGCGTGTGAGAAGACATGCGCACCCCGAGATTTATAGCGAACCTTTGGAACAATTAGCAGGAGCTGAACGAAGGGCACGAGTGGGTGTGTAGAGGTGCAGCAGGTCGGCCAGGTAAGAGGGTGAAGGGCAGTTAAAAGCCTTGTAGACAAACAGCAGGATTTTGAATTTAATCTAAATTTGACCGGGAGCCAGTGTGTCTGCAAGAATGGGAGAGATATGTGCGTCTGTTGGTGTTGGTTAACAATCTGGCAGCAGCATTTTGAACCTTTTGTAGTGTGCCGAAGTCTTCATCTCTTTCAGCATGGGCTCTAGCAAGTCCAAGGTATGCTTTTTTGTGCATGGGCTTTAGGAGAGGTTTTCTTCTTGGACAATACCCATGCATGCCATTCCTCTGCAGTGTGTGCCGTATGATGTCACAGAAAAGGGTCACTCCAGTGTGGCTTTCTACTGCGTTAGCTAACTGCAATGAACTTGCATGGATATTTTCTTCAACCCTTCTCTTCAGAAGACACTCCTGTCAAGATGTTAACTTCCATGGACGGATGTCTTTGTAAGATGGCTGGATTTACATCTTTCTTAAAATCTTGGATCCTTTTGCTACAGTATTTTGACTGATTTGGGAAGCTTTGCTGATTTTCTTGTAGCCCTCACCCTTTCTCAAATTTTGTGACACTTCTCTTCCATGTGCTGACAGCATGAAATGGGTAGGGCTTTTCTTTGTTAAAGGCCCCATGTGTGAAATCCATTGAAATCACGAGGAAAAAATGCGACTCTTCAGCGCCATGCAGTTCAGAGAAAGTATTGCAGCTACGGTGGCTCACTCATGAGTTTGACTGTATAATCAATTTCCAACCTGTCTAGCCTAACCCACACAAAGCTTAAAACAAGCTACTCAACCTCTTTAAAAAGCATTTATAATTATGACTGTTTATCAATCTACCAGTTCTGAAGGAAGCAAGCTAGTTCTGTTGGATCTTGAAGCGGTCACAATTCACACACGGAGGAAGGGTGACATCAGATGTGAGATATTGTGTTCCCCTGAAATATTCTGTCCCCCATGTTGGGAGATCGCACTTCTGGCTATTTTCACACCATTTGTGATAAACTTTTATGAGAAAATAATGTAATGTAATAATGTTATGCTTGTGATTTTTTATCTGTATTTCCTCCTAAAAACAATAAAAAAGATACAGTAAATACATTCTTGTTCACTCTTTTGCAGCAAGCTTATTTATCATTTTTGAAAGTTATATAAAAGGATGTAATCTCACTCAGTTTAACCATCTTTTATTTGAGGTAGTTGAATTAGCAGACTTAATGCTCCCAGGGCGCACTGCTTCCTTCTGCTTGTTCTTTCAGATTACAGTCATAGTCCAAATGGGTAACGTGGAGCTCGTATGTCCCTAAACAGCTACTGTATTTTAAGATGGTGGATGACCATGGAGCGTCCACCACAGTTTATATATTAAGAAATGTATAATTTCAAGTTGAGAGGATTATTCAGAATTGATGTTGGTGAGAAATATTAGTGAAAAGGGACAAGTTTGTGAACTGGAAACAGGACAGGTAAAAATATTACACACTGGGCCTTTAAGTAATGCCCTTTTATAGTCACCTGTCTGCTGGACACATCTTAAATGAATCGTTAGACTCACCTGTAATTGAATGCCTGTTAATTCTAATTTTGTAGTTTTAAGTGTGGCTTTTCTCCTAAGACTACAATTGGGGTGTACTCATTTTTCCACCAGGTGCTTGATTGGATTTGTTAGGAAAATCACGTTTTTGTGTGTGAGCAAATTAACTAATCAAGCTTGCAATCAATGGCGCACATTTGTGGGAGTATTTTGTAGTATGGTATCTCATATAAAATTTTATTCTGAAAGGAAACTAAATGTTTCCTAACAAATATAGTGAGGTTTACTCATTTATGCTGAGCACTGTATATTATTGCTGTTAAGCAAAAACCTTATCTATGATTAGTAACGGGCTGCTCTCCAGTCTGGGAAAATCAAATGAGTGTGTATCATCTGCAAAGATTCTGATTGAAAGATTTAATCTTTCTTGGAGGACACCAAAATGATTTTTGGCTCAAATGAGCAGAAAGACTAGACTTAGTGGTCTAAAGGCTCCGACTCTGTCTGTGATGTTTACCTTCCTTTTATACAAGACAGTTTTATGGTTATTTATGAGTTCATCATAGATGATTGCAACGTTCTCTCTGACTTCTTTAATTACCTAATTTTTTTCCTATTTAATGCTGTCTGTCTCTAGGCCCCCTCGAGATCTCGACACAAAAGCGCGTGTCAAAATCGGAGATCAGGTAAAGTTTTGTTCCTTTAAAAGATTAATGTTTGCGCTGGATAAACCGTTGTTTCATTTTCTGCTTCTTGTGTCCAGAATGTAGTAGTGGAGGCAGATGACTTGGAACAGATTGAGGAGCTTGGGAGGGGAGCTTATGGTGTGGTGGAAAAGATGAGACATGTGCCCAGTGGTGTCATCATGGCTGTGAAGGTAGACAAGCATGCTTCTCTTCTGGTTTATATTAAAGTGACGGTGTGTATTTTCCCTTGCGATAGGGGGCAGTACATACCTAAATTATTGCAAGCAAGCATTATTTTTTTGTTCAAGTAAGACCTTACCAACGATGGCCATTAGGGTCAAATATTGCTGGGAGTGCAACCTCCAGCAAAGTAACAAGAACATCAGATTCCCTTTCATCACTTGCAATGAGTGAAGAGGTAAATGTGTAAAAGAACGTTTATTAATGCTGAAATTTTGTAACCATTTGTTACAAATCAGTAAATGTATTTTGTCCGCTTGGGCTTCCATAGAAGGAAACATGGCAATATGGCGTCACCCAGAGACTTAGGGTGTTTCTCAGTGTCAAGGTGCCTGACCTTGCGAGAGAATGTCTTGAGAGGCCAGGCAGCTTGCTTACAAGGACACGGTCCTTCCTTGGTCAAAGAAAACGGTTAAATGGAACAGACTTGCATCAGGTGACCACAGCTTCTACGGCGGTCACATAACGTCACGTGACACAGGAGATAACTTTGTTCTACACGTATGAGTTTCAATATAAATATATAACTAGCCTTTTACTTTTTAAATAATGTATATGTTTCCTCAAATTAAATATATAAGTGAGTTACTACCCGCTAGCCACCGAAGCTGCAACTACTAAGCAACTAACCAACCGTGGATAACTTCTTTGGATCTAAAAAAGAAAAAAACATTTTAAATTAGTTGACTTACTTTTAAACTTGAAGTAGCTGCCGGCTTCTTATCCGCTATCCTTTTGAAAATACCGCTGTCTATTCTGGCTAATTTTTGCCTAAGGCTAGGCTACAAGACAACTCCTGTGTATCCTTGTTCAGCTAGCTAAACGGCTAACAAACAGAGAACACACATCTTAGGTGTGTTCTTGCTGTGTCTTGTTTCTAATTCCATGCTATCGTTCTTTTTTAAAACACAGAAACGGTTTTGTTACCTGTTGTTTCGCTACGTTTCGCCTGCGGCTGCAGACTTCCTCAAGTTGACAACGTCCTCTGCTGCAGACTTCCTCAAGTCAACAACGTCCTCTGCTGCCCGCAGACAAACGGAGAAGGAAGCGTTTGTCTGCGGGCAGCAGAGGACGTTGTCGACTGGAGGAAGTCTGCAGCCGCAGGCGAAACGTAGCGAAAAAACAGGTAACGAAACCGTTTCTGTGTTTTAAAACAGAACACGCGCCTTGGTAGAACATGAGCATTGGAACACGTCTTGGCAGCTTCTGATGATGTATCTCCTAGGCAACCGGGGTGGGACCAAGACATCAAGGCGAGGTTCCTTGGCATTGAGAGACTCTTTGACCTGCTCCCATGTAGTTTAGAACAGATTTTTATGGTTATATGTTATGAAACCGCTAATATTTTTCAACAACTGGGTATCTTTTAATTCATTTACAACAACATTTCGATTGATATTTCTAGAGATTAATGGTAAAAACTACACATTGTCACTCTAATGCAGTGTTTCATGCTTATGTCTGCAGCGAATTCGTGCTACAGTCAACACTCTAGAACAGAAGAGGCTTCTGATGGACTTGGACATCTCCATGAGGACAGTGGACTGCTTCTACACCGTGACTTTTTATGGTGCCCTCTTCAGAGAGGTAAAAACCAGTTTATAAATCCCATTTCTGCCACAGCCATTTTCCAGTAGAAGTATTTATGTTAATAATGTTTCAGGGTGATGTTTGGATCTGTATGGAATTGATGGACACGTCTCTGGATAAGTTCTATAAGAAGGTCATTGAGAAGGGCAAAACCATTCCTGAGGACATCTTGGGCAAAATCACAGTAGCAGTAAGTTGTGTTTCTCATAGGATTATCAAGTCATTTTACATTTAGCTTGTAGAGCTTAGATCTATTTTTGATTATACCCACATAATATTTGACATAAATACAAATTTGCGCACAGCAGACTCTACCATGTTGTTGTAAGACTTTTCAAGACTTTACAACAAAATGTTGTAAGACTTTGCAGAGTTAACATTTTGTTGTCATGGTGACATTGTCAGAGCCATGGAGGTGCTCTGCAGTATTAGGTGTACCTCAGGGGCAGTTGCACTGGATTGGCAGACTGGGGTGGGGGGCCCCCCTATTTAAAAAGGGGGCCGCAGGGTGTGTTCCAAGTACAGGGGGATCACTCTCCTGAGCCTCCCTGGTACGGTCTGTTCAGTTCCGAACAGGAAGGTCCATCAGATAGTCAAACCTTGGATCCAGGAGGAACAATGTGGTTTTGTGGGAGTTCAACCAACCAATTTACTGCCACTTACACATTAGGGTCGGTATGGTCAAGGGAGGATAGCGTCAGTTCTGTCTCGAACAGCGGTGTCATTTCTCTGAGTTGTTGGAGAGGATGCGCAACTTGTAGCAATTCCAGTGAGCCAGTCAAGCTGGTTTGTGGGTCGGATCCAGCGCACATGAGCTCTAGAACCGGATGACAGGTGTCTCTGTCTCAGCTCAGCGGGTCAGTCAAGCTGGTTTCTGGGTTGGAACCTGAGCAGAACTGCCGTGGACCTTCAGGAGAGGATTATGTGCAGCTTTTAAAATTACCAGCTCGACTGGCTCACTGGTGTCTGGGTCAATCCAGCTCACAGAATTCCACATGACCTCTAGAACCAGATCAAAGGCATCTCTCTCCCTCTCTCTAAGCACTAAACTACATTACGTGAATGGATATTAACGAGTACGAGACTGCTGACAGACACTCATTGATTTATTATTGTCAAGTAATAATATTATATTAACTGACTAATACTATTTTAATTGTCTGGTACATGATAGCAATCTGTACAATATTGTGATGTTAGCACACGAGTTTAAGCTAACATCGTTAACTCACAAGACACCTGCTGCTCCCCCGTTGCTTTTCCTCACATTGCAGCACAATCTCTCTGCTTTTTCTGATCGTTTCTCCCTTTGGTTTGTCTCTGCTCTGTGGGACGTGCAGCAAACCCATAACTTTATGGTTTTGGTCCATCATAGGTATAATTATCAAGTTTCCTCTGTGTCAGAGCCAGCATTAGAATCCATATTTTTCCCCGGATTAAGCTAATGCGACTCCCTCAGCTGACGTCACTAGGTTTAGCAAAAAAAAAAAAAAAAAAATCAATTTTCTCAAAAAATGACCCTAAAAGCCCAAATAATGTATGTATGTTGAAAAAACAAACATTTAAACAAGTTTCTATTATGTTTCTCTAAATATTGGTTCATGGGAGTCTCTAACTTGCAATTTGCTCCTTAATTTCAAATGGAATTTCTAAAACGTGGAACCTTTGTCATTGCACGATATCCGGGTACGCCGATTTCCCCCACAGATCACAACATGCCCTATAGGTTAAAAAAAAAATGTAAGTCGCTTTGGGTAAAAGCGTCTGCTAAGCACAGAAACATAAAACATAAACATATATATGTGTGTGTGTATATATATGTATATAAAGTTGTGGTCAGAGGTTTACATACACTTGTAAAAAATATAATATAATGGCTCTACTGAGTGTCCCGTTATTTCTAAAACTCTGATTTTTCTCTGATAGAGTGATTGGAACAGATACTTCTTTGTCACAAAAAACATTCATGAAGTTTGGTTCTTTAATGTCTTTATTATGGGTTAACAGAGAAAAGTGATCACATTTGCTGGGTCACAAATATACATACAGCAGTGCTAATATTTGGTTACATGTCCCTTAGCCATTTTCACTTCAATTAGACGCTTTTGGTAGTCATCCACAAGTTTCTGGCAAGCTTCTGGTTGAATCTTTGACCACTCCTCTTGACAGAATTGGTGAAGTTCAGTTAAATTTGATGGCTTTCTGACATGGACTTGTTTCTTCAGCACTGTCCACATGTTTTCAATGGGGTTTAAGTCAGGACTTTGGGAAGGCCATTCTAAAACCCTTATTCTAGCCTGATTTAGCCATTCCTTTACCACTTTTGATGTGTTTGGGGTCATTGTCCTGTTGGAACACCCAACTGCGCCCAAGACCCAACCTTCGTGCTGATGATTTTAGGTTATGTTGAAGAATGTGAAGATAATCCTCCTTCTTCATTATCCCATTTACTCTCTGTAAAGCACCAGTTCCACTGGCAGCAAAACAGCCCCACAGCATAATATTCCCACCACCATGCTTGACTGTAGGCATGGTGTTCTTGGGGTTAAATGCCTCACCTTTTCTCCTCCAAACATATTGCTGGGCATTGTGGCCAAAAAGCTCGATTTTCGTTTCGTCTGACCACAGAACTTTCCTCCAGAAGGTCTTATCTTTGTCCATGTGATCAGCAGCAAACTTCAGTCGAGCCTTAAGGTGCCGCTTTTGGAGCAAGGGCTTCCTTCTTGCACGGCAGCCTCTCAGTCCATGGAGATGCAAAACACGTTTGACTGTGGACAATGACACCTGTGTTCCAGCAGCTTCTAATTCTTGGCAGATCTGCTTTTTGGTGATTCTTGGTTCACTCTTTACCCTCCTGACCAATTTTCTCTCAGCAGCAGGTGATAGCTTGCGTTTTCGTCCTGATCTTGGCAGTGATGAAACAGTGCCATGCACCTTATACTTACAAACAATTGTTTGCACTGTTGCTCTTGGGACCTGCAGCTGCTTTGAAATGGCCCCAAGTGACTTTCCTGACTTGTTCAAGTCAATAATTCGCTTTTTCAGATCCATGCTGAGCTGCTTTGACTTTCCCATTGTAGCGTTTCTGGGCGTTTGTATCCAATGAGCCCTATTTACCTGGCCTAAGAGAAGTCACCAGCTGTAGTCACTCATAATCACTCACAAGAAGTTAAGAGGCCATGCTATGAAGCTCAGTTCACTGACACGTTTCTAAGTCACCAAAATTGCTAGATCATGTTGCTGTATGTATATTTGTGACCCAGCAAATGTGATCACTTTTCTCTGTTAACCCATAATAAAGACATTAAAGAACCGAACTTCATGAATGTTTTTTGTGACAAAGAAGTATCTGTTCCAATCACTCTATCAGAGAAAAATCAGAGTTTTAGAAATAACGGGACACTCAGTAGAGCCATTATATTATATTTTTTACAAGTGTATGTAAACTTCTGACCACAACTGTATGTGTGTGTATATATATGTATATGTATATATATATATATATATGCTTCCAATTGGTAAAACCATTAGATAGCATGGGATGAACTTCCACTGTTATGCTGACGATACTCAGTTATATAGGTCCTTCTCAAATAATTAGCATATTGTGATAAAGTTCATTATTATTATTACTGCTGCAGATTTTGCAGCTGTTCTTACTCTGAATTCAGCTCCATATGATTCTACTGATGCATTTACTGTAGTTGAGGGATCACTTTTTGCGCTTGATTCATCCTGCCTGGCTGGTATGAATATTGTCGCTCCATTAAAATCAAGTCGAAAGAAATCCAAGCCAGTTTATTTATATAGCCCCAAATCACGACAAGAGTCGTCTCAAGGCACTTCACATAATAAACATTCCAATACAGGCCATTTCATTAAGCCAAATCAGTAAAAAGTTTCCTATATAAGGAACCCAGCAGATTGCATCAAGTCACTAAATAGTGTCAGAGTCTTTACAGCAATCTTCATACTAAGCAAGCATGTAGCGACAGTGGAGAGGAAAACTCCCTTTTAACAGGAAGAAACCTCCAGAGGATCCTGGCTCAGTATAAGCAGCCATCCTCCATGACTCACTGGAGATGGAGAAGACAGAGCAGACACACACACACACATAACATATACACCAAGAAGTGTTTCTATGGTTACATTGTGATTTCTTAGTAAATATTCTATTTGGTGAGATAAACTTTATTGTATTTATCCTAGTGAATCTATAATTAAACGGGTAAACTAGTGGTAGCACATTCATTGTCAAAGAAAGTAAAAAGTTATTATCAGGAGAGGGAGAATGTTTAAGTGGTTAGCAGCAGTGTTCAAGACGATGGCCCCCTCCATGAGGCCACCACAGCTCAGCAGAACATTGTTGTTGCTTCTTCTGGAGAGAAAAACACTTAAGAGAAAAAATAAAGTTAACAGCTGAAATAGCAAGAAATAATACAGTTAAAGAGCAGATTGTAGAAGAAAGTAGTCGAGTGTGGAAAGTGGTCAGTGTGTCATCCAGCGGTCTAAGCCTATAGCAGCATAACTACAGAGATAACTCTGGATAACCTAGTCTTTTAGATGAAGGCATGTTGGAGGCAGGGCAAGGGAGAGCCGTCTTTACCGACTGTACACTCCACCTCCCTCTACTCCCCCACTTGTCCAGATCTGGGCTAACATCAGATTTTAACCATAAGCCCTATCAAATAAAAATATTTTAAGCCTAGTCCTAAAAGTAGACAAAGTGTCTGCCTCACTGACTAAAGTTGGGAGTTGGTTCCACTAGAGAGGAGCCTGATAGCTAAAAGATCTGCCTACCATCTTATTTTTAGATATTCTGGGAACCACCAGTAAACCTGCAGTCTGAGAGCAAAGTGCTCGGTTAGGAACATATGGAACAATCAGATCACTGATGTATGATGGAGCTTGATTATTAAGAGTTTTATATGTGAGGAGGAGGATCTTAAGCCTCTGGAGGTAGGCGTTGCAGATTTGCAGAAGTTAAAACCTACCTACGTGGTTACTCCATATACGTACTTCATGAGCATTTTTTAACTCCGAAGTACCCCTGAAGGTCTTAGTTGTTCGTCCTTTTATCAAAACTTATTTTGAGCCTGAGAGGGTTAAAATCTGTTCTAAATTTAACAGGCAACCTATGCAGGGAAGCTAAAACAGGATACATATGATCTCTCTTTTTAACTACATTCT